GACTGTGGGCCGAAAACTGGGGGGGAGGAGGGGGAAGTGTAGGGGGTGGGTTTCTGGGATATACCCTTTGGGTGGTTGATGATGCGTGGAGGGGATTGGAACCATGGCAGTGAGATGATATACGATGGAATGAATGTAAAACTAAAGTTCTCCCATGTAAACTATCATATAATTCACAATAAAACATTAAAAAAAACCAAGATAGGAAAAACAGCAAAGATCAAGTGGATGTTAGCAGAGACTCTGAAACTTGCTCTTGAACACAGAGTAGCTAACGTGAACGGAAGAAAGGATGACGTAAAAGAGCTGAATACAAATTTTCAAAAGGCAGCTCGAGAAGGTAAAGTAAAGTATTATAATGAAATGTGTCTGGAAACCAAAAGGGAAAGAACATGCTCAGTATTTCTCAAGCTGAAAATTCAAGTTTTGAGTTGCAATAGTGAATGAAGGGCTCTTTGGGAGAGATATTGAATGAGGCATCAAAGGAAGATGAAATTTATGCACAGAGTTGATGTAACCGTTTCAGTTGGTAGCACATGACCAAGATCCCATGGTACTGAAGGAAGACGTCAAAGCTGTGCTGAAGACATTAGTGAGAAACAAGCCCCCAGGAATTGATAGAACATCAATGGAAATGTTTCAACAAACTGAGGCAGGGCTAGAAACACTCATTACTACTCTATGCGAAAAAAATTTGGAAGATGGCTACCTGGTCAACCAAACTGGAAGAGATTCATATTTTTGTTCATTCCAAAGAAAGGTGACCCAACAGAATGCAGTAATCATTGACCAATATCATTAATATCACCTGCTAGTAAATTTTGCTTAAGATCATTTAAAAAGTGATTGCAGCAGTACATTAACAAGGAAGTGCCCAAAGTTCAAGTCAGATTCAAGAGCTAGGGATAATCACTGCTGACTTCAGATGGATTTGAGCTGAAAGCAGAGATTACCAGAAAGCTGTCTTTTTGTGCTGTGTCGACAATGCAAAAGCATTTGGCTGTGTGAGTCAAAACAAATTGTGCATGACAAAGAGAAGAATGGGAATTTCAGAACACTTCACTGTGCTCATGCGGAACGGAAACATAGACCAAGAGGCAGTTATTTGAATAAAACAAGGGACTAGTGCATGGTTTTAAATCAGGAAAGGTAGCCTTCAGCATGGATTACCATTCAATGTCAACACAAAATAAAACATATATCCTCACACTAGATCCATGAACAATGCTCATGGAAACAGCTGTCAAGAAATCAAACGATGGATTGCATTGGAGAAATCTGTTGCAAAAGACTTCTTTAAGGTGCTAAAGAACAAAGATGTCATTTTGAGGATTAAGGTGTGTCTGACTGAAACTCATAATATTTTCAATTGTCCCATATGCATGTGAAAGCTGAACAATGAATAAGGAAGGTTTAAGAAGAATCGATGCTTTTGAGTTATGCTGTTGGCGAAGAATACTGAAAGCGCCACGAACTGTCAGAACAAACAAATCTGTTTTGCAAGAAGTATAGCCAGAATGCTCCTTAGAAGTGAGAGTGGTCACAATAAAAAGTTTAAAAAAAGAAGGGAGGTTGGTGAAACTGTCTCTTGTACTCTGGACATGTTATCAGGAGGGACCAGCCCCTGTAGAAGAGCATCATGTTTGGTAAAGTAAAAGGTTTACTTCACGAGAAAGAGAAAGACCCCCAACAAGGTGAACAGACACATCAGCTGCAACAATGTGGTCAAACTTCGCAACAATCGCGAGACTGGTGTAGGAGCTGGCGGTGTTTCATTTGGCTTTGCACGGGGCCACTACGAGTTGGAATTGACTCCAGAGCAGGACTAATATCAATAATCCTGTCCCTGTGGTTCCTGGATGGCCAAATTAATCTGTACTGGACTACTAGCTTCAAGGTTGGTGGTTCCAAAGAAAAGCGTGGTGAGACACTTCCGTAAAGATTGCGCTGCTGCTGTTGGCTGTCTTCAAGTGGATTTCCATCGTAAGGAGCAGTTTGACTGGGATCACTTTGAGTCGGAACCAACTTGGTGGCAGTGGGTTTGGCTGTTTGGTTTTTATAGAAATGGGGGGGGGGGGACGGGGAGACACAAGCTGCAATGAGGGGCTCAAGCAAAGCAACAATTTTGAGGGTGGCACACAACTGGACAGTGTTTTTTTCTGTTGTGTATCTGGTTGCTATGAGCCGGAACCCACTAGATGGCCCTTAACAATAACAACTACCATCAAGCCACCCCTTGAAACTCCTTTATAGGGTGGCTATGAATCAGAACAGACTCGATGGTGGCACTAACAATGACAACATAGTTCTCACAGTCTCTCCAACAATCAAAAAGTATCCCCTCAGCGGAGGTCCCTGGAACCATCAAGGGAGAAGAGCGGAGTGCGGGACCCTACCCAGAGAAGCAGTGATGCCTGAGATGGAGGCAGAGATGATGACGTGGAGAGATGGAGCAGCTGGGGACTCTGGACCCAGGGAGGGAGAGGAGCTGTGTGCTGACGACCAGGGGGGCAGGCTTGTAGTGTATACCCTTTGGTTGGTTGATGATGCGTGGAGGGGATTGTAACCATGGCAATGAAACGATATACGATAGGATGAACGTAAAACTAATGTTCTCCCATGTAAGCTATCACATAATTCACAATAAAACATTTTTTAAAAAAGTCTCCCCTCCCTGGCCTTGTCCAGTAGTAGTAATGTCACCTGCTTCAGTCTCTCCCATTCTTCCTGCTTCACCTGACTCAGGAACCCCAGCACCCCCGTCCCCAATCCTCAGAGAAATCATCCGAAATGAGTGTACATGACAAATTTAATTTCCCCTTCTTGCAAAGGTGTCTCACATTTTTGTACAAAAACCCGAGTCCCCTCTGCCCCTCCCTCCCCATCCTAACAACAGAACAAAGTCCTTGTATAATAAATAATAAATGTTGCTGCTCAGGCCCACAGGGTTGGGAGCAGGAGAACACTGGCTGGACTTCTTAGGGACCCAAGAATCCGGGAACCAAGTTTCCACCACCTTCGGGATCCCAGAATTCCTCTGCCTCCCACCTCCCTTAAATAAATAAGTATAAATAAGGTACAGATACCTCCCCCACCAGGTCTCCTCAAGGGACCGGATCTAACTGGGGGGGCAATAGGTGGCGGTCCCTCGACTGCCATGCCCCCAGTCCCAAAATAAATAAATAAATAAGATCTGGCTTTGAAGGATGATCAATTGCTGCTTTGGGTCCAGGGGTTACAGCCGAGTCCTCAGAACCAGCAGCCCCCTGACGGCCCAGTCAAGCGTGAGGTGCAGACCCCCCAAGATAGCATGTGCCGCCCGGATGCCTCCCCAGGCTGAGGCAGGAGGGGCCAGGGGGGGTAGCGGGGGCGCTGGGGATGCCTGGGGCAGGGCCAAGCGAGACATCTGTTGAGAGAGAGCAAGAGGGTCAGTTAAAGGGGTGCAGTGGGTGGCCAGGGGAAGGAATGTTTGGGGCATCAAACGAATTTGAATTGTGGAAGTTCTCTCTTGTATATTTCCAGAGTACCTGAAGGATGTTGGGTTAGAAAATTGAGGCTGGGGTCAACAGGTAGGCATTGTAGGGTGAAGGCTGGGGTTCTAGAGCTAGGTTCATGGGGCTGAGGTACAGTCTTTATTGAAGTTTGGGGTCTTGTAGCTAGGTAAGGGCTGGGGTCTTGAGCTAAGGAAGGCTGGAATTTGGGGTCTGTGTAGTTGGGACAGGGTTGGGTAGGAAGAGCTAGATCTTGGAGCTAAGTGAGGACCGGGGTCCAGAGTTTGTATGGTTGGGTCAAGATTGGATGGGAAGGGCTGGGGTCTATGTGGTTGGGTCAGGATTGGGTGAGCAAGGCCGAAGTCTTGGAGAAAGGATTTGAGAGATAGTGTTCAGGTCTGGGTTCTCAGGCGTCAAAGTCTAGGGTCAGATGAAGGATCTCAGGCTTGGGTCTTAAGTCTGGGATCTCTAGGATCAGGTTCAGGGACACTTGAGTGAGCCATGGGATCTCAGAGCTGGGATCTGGTACTTTAGGTCCAGGATCTTTGACAGCAGGTTTAGGAAGGGTACTGGAAGCCAGAGTCTTAGGGATTTAAGGGCTCATGACTGAAATGTGGGGTCTTGGGATCATTCTTGGGTTGCTGGGTTTGGGAATGAGATATAAGGTCTCAGAGCTCAGTCTGGGGACTTGAGACTTCAGAACTTGAATCCTAGGAGCCAGCATTTGGAGATCAGTCTTAGGGGGCAGGGGCTAACAGTTTGAGATCTCAGTTCTAAATTCTTAAGGTCTTGGGGTGGGAAAGTCAGGGTCCCAAGACTGGAGTTAAAGTCAGAGTCTTACATCTTAGGGTCTGGAGTCTTGAGGTGTTAAGGGTCTTTAGATCTGGGATTTTGGTGTCTTGGGGTCAGGGTCTCCAAACTGAGCTAAGCATTTAGACCCTTGAGATTTGGGGTCTCAGGTCAGGGTTTGGTGTCTTGGGTCTTGGGATCTTCAGGTACACAGTCTGTAGTTTCAGGACAGATCTTGGAGTCTGGCTGCTCAAAGTCTGGGCTCTTGGCGTTATGGGATCATGGACTTGATCTGAGAGGGCTTGGGGTTTCAGGGCAGGGTTTTAGGGTATGGAATCTTATAGGTTTCCAATATCTTAGGGTTCCGGGCTCTGGGTCTCCAGGGCAGTGTCTAGCGCCTAAAGTCCTGAGGTCACAAGTTTCAAGGACCTTGCAGTTGCAGGCCATATGTATGTGTGTCTCAGAATAGGAAAGGGTCTTGCGGTTGGCCTGGCTTTTCAGGGCCAGAGTTTAGCATCTGGGGCCCTTGGGAGGGGGGCGGTGGTCACAAAATCAAGGTTTTAGGACCTGTGCTCTGAGATCTTGAATCCAGGGGCTTACCAGGAGCTGCAGCCGACGCAGGAGTCTGTCCAGTCGGGCCTGCAGGGCCCCCAGCTCAGGCTCCAGGGTCCGAAGGGAAGGTCCACCTGCCCGGCGTAGCCACTGTACATGCCGAAGGTAGGACAGCAAATCTGTCCGGAGCCGTGTCAGTACGCCTGGGAGCTGGGGATGGGGTAGGGGTCAAGCATCAGGGATAGGTAGCCCTCCAGAGCCCCATCCTCTCCAATACCCATGGCCATCCCATCCCTGTCCCCGCTCTTACCTGTAGGGCTCCCAGTGCCCCGGCGCTCATGGCTAATGTAGGTAAGGAGTCCAGACTGTGATCCCCGTCGGCTGGGAACTTGTCTTTCTGGTGGGAAAACAGCTGTGACTAGGAGACCTTTGCCCACCTTGGAGCTCTCTCTCTCCCTCCTCTACTCCTCTCTTTCCAGTCTATCCTGCTCCCCCATTCTAGGCTGGAATCGGGGAGGGATCCTTGCCTCTGTTTCCCTTCCAAAGCCTCTTTGTGTCTATGCCCCTCGATCCCTTATGACTCTCTGGAGATCTCAGGGTTACCTCCAGGCTGTATCTCTCAATGTGGGTCCCCATGTCTGGCCCTTGTATTTCAGCATCTCTTGCTTACTCCTTCCAGTCTCTGTCTCCATCCCCCTTTCTAATCCGGGTCTGTATGGTTTCTCTCCTCTCGGTCACTCTCATTCAGTCCTATACTTCCCCACCTCCCATGGTCCTAACTTCAGGTCCTTACCAGCTGTGCAACCAGCTGCCGGGTATCCGCCAGAAGGGCTCGGGTCAGGAGGACAGCGCTGTCCAGCTCAGCTCGAGGGTCTGGGGAGGTTCGTTGGGGTCCAGGAGGTGGCCCAGGGGCAAAAACGTAGTCTGGCCACAGGCTCAGCACGACCAGGACCAAGCGGCAAACACCTGGGGGAGAGGGAGTGGACACAGAGAGCTCAGGTCAGACTCCTGAGTCTGAGGGAGGGGGTGCGGGGCTGGACTCCTGGGCCTGATGGAAATGGGGTTGGGCCCCCCGGACTCCTGAGTCCGAAGGAGAAGGGGCTGAGAGCCCCGAATCCTGGGTCTGAGGGAGGAAGAGCCGAGCCCCAGGGCTCCCGGATCTGAGGAGGGAGGATGAGGGCTTGCGTCCCAGGGTGGAGCGCCCGAGGCAGGTCCCAGGCCGGGCGGGCTTCCCTCACCCTCTCCGCTCTGGCAGCCCCGCCCGTCGGAGCAGACGCGGCCCGGGGCGGGTAGACGGGCCGGGCGTCTCCCGTCCGCCCCCAGACGCCGGAATCTGGGCCCCGGGGCGGGGCATGAGGGGGGAGGCACAGGCCAGAACCTGTCCCCTCCCCCGGCCCCAGGAGCCCGAGCTGGACTTGGGGGCAGGGAAAGGAGCCAGAGACTGGGACAGAGACACAGATCCCCCCAGTCCCTTCCCGGGACACGGGCATAGACCTCCTTCCGGTCCCCCCGGAGAGCCAGCCCGCAGTGACCGAGGGTGACCCGGAGCGCACCTGGGCAGAGAGGCCGAGCAGCTTGCTGCAGGGAGGCGAGCTGGAGCGCCCAACTGGACTTGGGGGTCGGGCCGGCCCTCCCCCCAGCCCACCCTCGCGCCCCGCCCACCAGCCGAACGTCAGCCAATCAGCGTCCCCGGTCGCCGGCTCCTTATCACACCTCCAGCCCGCCTTCTGGTCCCCTCCTGCTTCTCTGCCCAGCTCTGGCCCCTCCTCACCGCTGTCCGTCTGTCCTGCCGGCTAACTGCCGGCATCTGTCTGGCCCTCCGACTTCGGTTGCACCCCTTGCTCGCCCCCTTGGAACTTCCCTCACGCCCTGCTCTCCCTGCCTCAGTTTCCCTCCCTGAGACACTCTGTCGGGGTCTCCAGGTGTCTGCCGACTTTCTGGGGGTGTCGGGGGTCACCTCCCCGTTCTGTCTGTCCCTGTTTGTGGGTCCTCATGTCTCTCTTCCGCGGGTCTCTCGGTGTCTCCACGTCTCTGATTCGTGTCTCCATTTTCCCGTCCCGTCGGGGTCTGCGCTCAGAATCCCCATCGCTCATTCTGTCCTCCGGTCCCCACGCGGTCCTCGCTCCACTGTCTGTCTGCTCCCGCTGTTGGTCCCTCCCTACCGTCCCCATGAACTTAAACCCACTTACTGTTCATGTCCCCACAGGGCCAGGGGTTCCCCAGGGCAGGGGGGCAGGGCTCTGGGGTCCTTTAACCCTTCCCTGGCCGCTGCGGGCCCGGGGTCAGCTGGGCCGGGGCCGGGCCAGGGGACACATGAGCAGAGCGGGTGTGAGCAGCGCCCGGCAGTGAGGGCGTGCGGCCGCCCGGGGGCTTATATAGGGGGCCGGGGCGGCGGCGGGGGGCAGGCGGCCTGGGAGGGCGGCCTGACACATCCTGACTCACTCTCCCTGCCTGCCTTTTCCATTCAGACAGGCGGCCGCGCAGGGCTCGCGGCTCGGAGGAGGCACGGAAGGAAAAGTTGGAAAAGTTGAAAAGGGAAGGGGGGGTGGTCGGAGAGCGGCTGGTGAGGTCATGGGCGTCCCCTCCCGCCACCTCCTAGGCCCCGGGCAGACACCGGCGGCTGGAGGGCTGGGGCCTGGCTGCGGGTGGGGTTCGAGCAGGCGGTGAGAGATGGAGAAGGCAGGCATGGGGGGGCAATAGGATGCGGGCCTGGGGAGATGGGAACGTGAAGGTCACAGATGAAGAGACTCTGAGACGGAGACACATAGAGGGATGGAGAGACTAGGACAGAGGTGGAGATACTGAGGCACAGATACAGAGACTGATGGCCAGAGAGGGAGACACCGAGGCAGAGAGACAGAGACCGATGCCCAGAGATGGAGACATTGAGGTAGAGATACAGAGACCGATGCCCAGAGAGGGAGACACCGAGGCAGAGATACAGAGACCGATGCCCAGAGAGGGAGACACCGAGGCAGAGACATAGAGACAGATGCCCAGAGATGGAGACAC